GCATCACCATGAAAGAAAAGCTGGGTCATACAAAGCCTGTGAAACATTTTTTTTTTTGTTCTGTTTTTCAACCAGAGTGGAAGCATGAAGAGAAATTACAGAAGATACATTACAGAAAAAGAGACATTTTAAGCAAAGCGAAGAAGTGGTTTTGCAGACATTTGCACAATGTGTTGAGCATTATGGGAGAAGGCCCAAAGGTATGTGTTTGAGTATTTAACTACTAGATGATGGAAGCATCTGCAGTTGATGTGGGTTTGGATTTAACTGCGGAGAGTAGTAAACTTCAACTCTTGTCAGCCCCAGATGTGAGCCTTCCCTCATGCTGAACACTCCTGAATTTCCAGCATTGCTCTGCAGTTTCTAGTTTAACAGCCCTCAGCAGCACTGCACCTCTTTCTAGTGGTGCAGCATAAGTACCCTTCACTCTCATGAAGCAGGACAGAAGGACAAACAATGAGGATGTCTAGTTGTTACCCCATCAGGTATCAAGGATGCATCCATCTTTGTTAAGATGTCACACTGACATAAAAAAATCAAGAACAAGTTGACATTAACCTGTTTTTTGACTAATACCTACAGAGACATTATTAATATGAATCCACCCTAATTGCTCTTTGGTGATCAGAATGACAGATGTCACAGGACGCTATGTGCATACTTCACTGTGCAAGACAAATGAGTTGCTCTGTTGCTACTTGATTTTATAGTCATTTGTAAACTGTCTGTTACAATATTTATTACAAAATGTTATTAAGCAATATTAAGACATCATGAGCTAGATCCTGTTGTAGGATGTAGCCATTCAGTTCTGATAAGGAAATCAGGCTTTAATAATAGCATAGGCAGTTCCCAGTAGATAAAGCAAATGCCCATAACTAGAGTGTAAATGCCTTTTCCTCATCCTTCACTGAAAGAGAAAAAGAAGACATGGCATCAGACCACAACTGATGTTATGCAGTCAGTTGTGTTTTCTTTTAAACTTTTCAAAATTCTCACAAACGGAAAGGAACCATCTCAGAACAGAACATCACTGATTTTGAACCAAAAAGGATGCAGGTAGATATAAGCCAGTTACCTTCCCTGGCTGCAAAATACATATTTGCATATTGGTGCAAATGGTGAGCATATTGTGTGGATTTGAACATTGAACATTTATTGTGTGGATTTGAACCTCACTATGCACAGAGTGAGGTTCAAACAGTGACAAGTGTTTCTTTGGGGCTAACAGTTCAGAAAGGTTTTTTAAGATGAGCTGAATATGGTGAAAAAAACCTTTCCACAAGTATGAGCCCTGGATACCTGTGAACCTGGGAAGAATACTATCTTTCTGCTGTTGCAACAAACCAGAGAAATCTCAGGACTACATACTATCGCCCGACTGACCCTGCTCTGGAGTGTACTGCTGTCTCACAGCACCCTACTGCCTGTATATATAAACTTATGATGCCACAACCACAGCTCAAAGGGAGAGCAAGTGAAACTAGCTGCGAGGGCCACGTGCTACCACTTGGTCTCATGCTGGGAGTCTAACTCTTCAGTGCTGGTCTGTAAAGGGATCCCCATAACCTCATATCTACTTCATCATGAAAAAAGTGTTGAAAAGGTGCATCTTTTAATAGCAGTGGCTATTGTAGTGTACAGCCACACCGAGTTGCCATTCAAGTGAAAACAATGAGCAAATTTCATGCAGTACTAAATTGCACCAAAATTAATATTTTGCATTTTCCCAGCATTTCTGCCTCATTATGTTGGCTGAAGCTGAGACATTCACCTTGCATTTTAAGTTTAGCCATATAGCTCAAAGAAACTAAAAAGGAAGAAAAAGTCAGCAGAAAGGCATCTGCAGTATTTAAAAGGATGGTAAAAAACTGCTTCATTTCTTTGTGGCTATTTCCCTGGCATGGCATGCAGTTATTTAATCAGGGCACTATGAGTTCCTGCCGATGGCAATACATGATTCTAAACGAGGCTGAGCACTTGATAATAAGAACTGACCAAAATGCTTGAGTGTTCTGCTTCAGAGCAGACTCCCCAAGACTATATTGTAAAGATTATTTACAGAAAAGGCAGTAGCCACACTATTAGAGTTTGTCCATTTTTAAGCACGACTGCATTTACATGTATGGACGAGGAAAAGCAAGAATTTCTTGGTATGTGGTAAGCAGTCATTTTTAATGTTCTCTGGAAATTTTGTTTTGAATATGAAGTGGAATGCTTCAGTGTTTTGTTGAAGAGAAAATTTTAAACAGTGCTTCATATTCTATATGCAAACCTACTGGAGATCTCTGCAATTGGGTTGTAAGGGCACCAGATCTTCAGCTACGGTCAATCAGCACAACTCCTCTGACAATCTGTACAATAGAAATGTGCATGATATTACACTTAATAGCTAAGAAGTAACTAATCTTCGTGAAAACCAATAAGCAGCAATGCTTTCTATACCACAGGTAGAGAACAGGTTACCCAGAGATGTGGTGGAAACCCTGTCCCTGGACACATTTGAGGCCAGGCTGGAGCAGGCAGGCTCTGAGCAGCTTGATCTAGCTGTGGATGTCCCTGTTCACTGCAGGGGAGTTGGACTAGATGATCTTTAAAGGTCCCCTCCAACTCTAAGGACTCTATGGTTCTGTGTTAGCAGAGTTCCCTTTTCATTTAACACATTGAGTGTAAACTAACAACTACCTAAACTTGACATAATCAAGATATTTATTCCCTTACGATATGACTGTGCTCACATATAAAAGCACCAGCCAGGAAACAGCATCACGTTGTGCAGACTGTAGTATAGATGCATTACAAGTACTACCTCCAGAAAGATCCTGATTTAAGACACAACAAACGTGCCCTGAAGAGAAAGGGCAGATACATATGGACTAAAGGACTTCTGCTCTTGTTAATACAGCTACTTAGCATTCCATATTTAAACCAATATGCAAACACCAAAGGCTAATTGATTGCATTAGTGAAAAAGGCCATGGTGCCTCTTCGGCTTCTTTCCAGACCTTCTGGAGATTCCTGTCATCTTGCCATGCAATTTAGGACCGATGCTGTAAGGAAGCATTAATACAAATCCTAAGATCTGTCTATTTTTAATCAATGCAGATGTTTGACCAGAAGTCAATAGTAGTATTAAGGCAGGAAAGAGACACAGCTATCATAAACAGCATTTCTACAGCATTTTAAGAAAGTCAAAACCAATGAGCAAACAGAGCAATTACTCAAGTTACAAAGTCCTGATATTAAAAAAAAAAAAGTTCTACTTCTCAAAGAACAGACCATGGCCTCTGGATTACTTCTTATTCTATATCTACATTGTTACACACATACTGAAATATTCCTGTTGAACTGAATTTAAAGTGTAGATGGACACAGCAGCAGAGCACGGTGCAGACCGTGGAAACTTGGTTCTAGTCCTGCCAACAGCGCATTCTGGTACCAGGTCAAGCTGTGATTTTGGGTGGAAGCTCAGTGCTGAACACACATTTTTGAGCAGATCGGTTCTCCCACTCAGCCTCCGCACTCCCCTCTGCCAAACAGATGATCTTTTTGTCCAAAGCTTGCAAAATGTAACCCTTCTGTTACCTCCAGGTGCCAGTTTTTGTTATGACAAGCACTACACCCTGCTTGTGATCTGATTGAAACTGAAACAGACGTGTATGAGAACAAGAAAGAAGTCTGTATGTCAGAGGACCTGCAGAACTGTTGTACACGTCTGAGTCAATCAGCTCAGGCAGTAGAGACTTTACTCTTCAATTCCATTTTAGAAAGTGTGGATTTATTCAGTCCTGAACCTATGCCAGGCGCTGCAACAAAACCAACACTGCAGCTGAAGCACTGGAGTGGAAGAGTTCCACCTCTGCCACCAGCATATGGACAGCAGTAACATATTCATGAAAAACTGAAGGCAAAGGTAAAGCACAATTCCAGAACACAGCAGTATCTGAAAACTTTGAGCACAGCAGAAGTGTTGGCAAAAATCTGCTACCACAGTTCTGCCAAGCTCTAGAATGTTAAGAGCCTTCCAGGCAAGTCTTTATGATGCACATTAGATGGATGGTGAGTTCAAGAACATCAGCAACCCCAGCAGCAGCCAAGACTAAGATATCAGCACATACACACACAGCTCTTTTTCCAGTAGCCTCATCAAACATGTGCTCAAGCTTAGACAGTATATTTCTTTACAGCAGCTCAGAGCTTTTTGCAACTTTTATCAAGATTTCTTGCCTCAGTGGTTACCTTGAGGATTAGAAGGGGCTTGTGGGCTTACTGGTTTGTAAAGAAGATAGTTTTGTCAGTAAGAGAATAACCCTTGGGGTCTCAGGGAAGACAAGGTCCTGGTGAGAACTTGAATTTACAGTGGTTCATCTTTTTAGTTCGTCTTTCCATCGACGCTTTGGGAATGTTATGTCAATGGTTGCTTTCTGGATTACAATTTCGAGAAAGCTGCTCCACCACAGAACATTTGTTGAGCTCATAAACACAGCACAGTCACTGAAAAAGTGCACAAAGTGCTGTGCCGCGGCACCTTTTGCCAGAGATAATCAAAGGGATTCATGCGGCTGTCACTTGTGCCTTTAAACGTGAAGCACGTTAAAGACTGTCAGCATTTATGAAAAGCCGTATACGAAATCCACTTGATGAGGGAGAGCTGAGGTCCAACTCGCTCTTCCTCGGGTAGAGCGCACAGCCCACCTCGCAGGGAGACACTCGAGAAGCGCACACCGCACCGACACGGCTCTGCCTACCTGCCCCTCGACAGAGGAACGCTCTTTTGTCTCCAGCAGCCTTCGGGCTCGAGCCCAGAGGGCACAGCCCTCGCACGGACCTCCCGAGCAACGCGGTGGCTTCTCCCTGCTAACCAAGAGCGCACCCAGCACCTGACCGGGACCGGGCGGCACCGAGGGGCCGGCCCGCACAGCACCGCACCGCACCGCAGCCGGCCCCCGGCGCCCAGGGCTGCCCCAGCCAGCGGGACCCCCACCCGCGCCCACACTCACTTCTCCCCAGCGCCTCCGCCTTCCACTCCGTCTCCTCCACTGCCCCGTAGCGCCTCATGGGTCTCTCGGCCTCCGCGCTGGCCGAGATGGATCTCCTCAGCTCCATGGCCGGGCCGGGCGGCGCGGGGCTTCCCGCCTCCTTCACTCCATGTCGGCAGGGCTGCGGCCCGGCTGCCGCGGGGACGGCGCGGAGCTGCGGCTCCTCCGTGCGGAGCGGGTGCCCGCGGGCGGGGCGAGGAAGGGGCGCCGCGCACATGCTCAGTGCGGGGCTGGGCGGGGGGAGGCCGGGGAACAAAGCGAGCGGAGCCCCGCGGCCGCCCCCGGCATCGCGCGGCGCGTTGCGGTTACCCGGCGGACTCCCCGGGTCGGTCCTGTCCCCGTAGCTGCTCGGGCGGCCCGACCTGCGCGGCGCTGCTGCCGCGCGGGTGTTGGCACAGCTCCGCATCTGCCGTGCGCGCTCCTGTGGCATCGGCGAAGCCAGCCGGAGTCCGGGAGGACCGTTTTTGGCGGCCAGCGCAGCGCCGAGCGCATCGTCGGGCCTGTGCGGCTCAGCGGTACGGGTCAGCTCCACGACCACGTCCGGCTTTTGCAGCCGAGCGTATCTCAGGTGGCTGTGCACACATCTTTTGGATTTCCTGACGGTCCCGCACCAAATGGCCTAACACTCATTGCAGCATCCTGGTACCTAAAGCAGCACAGCAAACAAGTGATGTGATTCTGGATTTCTCAGGTGTATTTTCCATAAACACACAGCTTTGCCGTTTATACAACCTACTGGGATTAGAAGAGAAGGAAATGACTATGCAAGAAGCACAAGAGGGGTGATAATAATAATAATTGTTATTATTTATTTTCATTGGGGGGGGGGAGAGATTTTGTGAACAAAGCCCCTTGAACAGCATTTTGCATTATCTTTCCTAGTGAAATCCCATCGCACTTCATTGTGTGTGGTATCATTCTGATGTAGATGATGAAGCAAGAGTTGGGGAGGTTGCCCAGGCTATGAGCAATGAGGCATGGATAATGCTGAATGCACATGGGGTGCGTGAAAGAAAGCTTGTGTGTCACATGCCTTTGCCTGGAACCTTTGCCTTGCCCTTCAACTCTCAATGCTACGAAAGTGCTACAGTGACATTTAGTGATGCTTTTACTAATTGGACTGACGCACATTGCTGCTATACTCGTAAACAGTATTGTTTGGGAGTTCGTTACATGTTGGAGGAGAGAAAACCTCCACATCAGTTTTAAAACAGTAACACTGATTTTTTTTTTCCTGATAACTGAAATTGTTACCTAATTGAGTTGGACTACCAGAACACTGCAAGGAGGCATCCCTGGAGCCTTCTCTTCTTTAAGCTTAGCAAGCCTAACCTTCTTTGTAAGAGAGGTACTCCAGCCCTTTCATCACCTTTGTGACCCTCCTCTGGTCTAACTCCAAAACTCTACATCTTTCCTGACTCGGGGGCCCCAGGCCTGGATGTCATACTGCAGGTGGGACCTCACAAGGGCAGAGTAGAGGACAGTCACTTCCCTTGCTCTCCTGGCCACTCCTTTGCTGAGAGCCAGGATACTGTTTGCCTTTTGGGCAGCAAGAGTACACTGCTGGCTCGTGTCTGGCTTTTTGTCCACCCAGAGAAGCTGTGGGTGCCCCATCCATGGAGGTGTTCAAGAGCAGGTTGGATGGGGTCCTGGGCAGCCTGAGCTGGTGGGGTGCAGCCCTGTCTACAACAGCAGGTTGGAACTAGATGATTTTTAAGATCTCTTCCAATCTAAGTCATTCCCCCTGCTCCCAGCACTGGTGAGGCCGCACCTCGAGTACTGTGTTCAGTTTTGGGCCCCTCACTACAAAAAAGACATTGAGGCCCTGGAGCGTGTCCAGAGAAGGGCAACAAAACTGGTGAGGGGTCTGGAGTACAAATCTTGCAAGGAGTGGCTGAGGGAGCTGGGATTGTTCAGTGTGGAGAAGAGGAGGCTCAGGGGAGACCTCATTGCACTCTACAGCTTCCTGAAGGGAGGTTGTGGTGAAGAGGGATTTGGTCTCTTCTCCCAGGCAACAAACAGGACTGGAGGAAATGGCCGCAAGTTGTACCAGAGGAGGTTTAGGTTAGAAGTAAGGAAGAACTTTTTCTCTCAGAGAGTGGTCAGGCACCGGAATGGCTGCCCAGAGAAGTGGTGGAGTCGCCGTCCTTGGCAGTGTTCAAGAGGCGTCCGGATGAGGAGCTACAGATATGGTTTAGTGCTTGTGGTAGCAATGGTGATGGGAGGCAGTTGGACTAGATGATCTTGCAGGTCGTTTCCAACCTTGCGATTCTATGATTTTATGATTTTAGAAGGTCCTCTGAACGCTGTGATTTCTCCTCTTTTTCTCACTCTGCTCCACAGGGATTTGCAGTGATATGAGCACCAGACATGGTGAGGAGCTCCCATGGACTGCACAACGCTTCATACTCACTGGGTTTGGCCTTTAGAGATAGAGCCCAAACAAAGCTGTGAGTCAAGCAGGAATGCTGGTGGCAGCATGCTGCACAGCTGATTTTGGGTGACAGTACAGCTGCTTGCTGGGGTGCGCTGGACTGAGTCACTTGTAGATGTGAGGAATACAAGTGTGGGAGGAAGAGCCCATCTGGGATCTGGGTGAGAGTTGGACAAAGGGAAACAGGCTGAGCAGAGAAAAGGGCCAAGTTTGGGTGGATCTGAGGCCTATTCAGCTTCAGTCCATTCCTTCGGTGTTTTAGATTATAATCCAAATGATTTGTTTAGGAGAGGGAGGAATGATCCTAAAGATAATTGAATATTTAAAGCTCTGCATTTGTTATTATGGGTGAAAAACACTCACTGATTAGTAAATGGGATGCACAGAGTTTCCTTACATCAAGCAAAGAATGTATGAAGTGATTTATGGTAACTGGAACGTTTTTACCTGCCCCTTTTGAAATAGTCACAAAATCCAGAAAAATCCCAGTACTACGGGTGTGAGCAGGTATGAGGAACAGTCCCACAGAGTCCATTTGCACAGAGGTTTTTGCAAGACTAGAGCCAAAGTACAAACCAATTATTTTGCTAATGTTCTACAATTAGTGTTTTCACTGTTGCAACTTCAGAGCATTTTCCCTACTGCATTTGCAAGTGGTATTCAATTTCTCCCCTACTGATGGAGCTTGCAGTGTACCCAGCAGTACACATGCATTTCTCCAGTTGCAAAAGATGGTGTTCTTCTACTGAAACCCCTTTTAAGGAAGAAAACATAAAAATTCAGATCCCTTCTCACTGCTCAGTGGATAATGCCTCGTAGAAAAACAGAGTTGCACTTTACTCTGGCGGTCATTTCCTCTGACTGCTTTTGTTTCATTTCCATTTCTCAGTGTTAAGTCCTGCCACTGGGAGCTGTAGCTGGTCAGCAGCAGTTGGCAAACCCATTCACCTGTCTACTGCTCTTCTGGCCTCCACTATGCATCACTGATGGCCCGTGGCAGACACAACACTATAAATAAAAGGCACACTTTACTTGGGCAGAATTCTTAATGGCACCATGACTTGTAAATCCAGTGGGGAGAAAACTCTCTCTTTCCTTTCATGGAGTTTTCAAGCACATGGGATTACTCAACCTGAAGTTCTCAGATTTCCCTTGCCTTTAAGGGCACATCTAATACTCCAAAAGGTTCTCAAGTGGTGCTTTGAGAGTAAAGAAAGAAGTCAGGGTCATTTTTCTTTGTCAGATAGTACTGTCATTCTAACACAAGAGTAACTTTAAATGTTAAAATTCTGCCAAGGTTTTCACTTATTTCTCATTACAATCAAAAGCTGCAACTCTGCTGATAAAACAAAATGAAATTAAGTGGATTATGCACAGTTGCTTCGTAGGCACAATCTCCCAGATCCATGATTACCAGGACAGAAGTGTGGGACTTCTGTGAATCTGTCCTATAACATTTCTTAAGCACTAAGACTTGTTCAAAAGCATCTCTGTGTTGGAGGAGTTACCAAAATTCTATGGTATGTGATGTCATGGTTAATCTTGTTTCCCTGTGAAAATGCCTCCTCTTCAATCTTCATCCTTCAGCTTTTAGGATTCTCCTAGTTCCCAGTCCTTAGCATTTCCCCAGTTATTCCTGGTACACTGTGCAGCCTCTGACCCCACATCCCACAGGCTGTGTCAGCAGTGTGTAGGAGCTCCAGGAGGCCATCAGCCTGCACACGTTCACACTGCTGTGCTGCAGCCGCTGCATCACCTCCAGATACCACTTGTCAGGCATATGCACGGCATGAAAATGCCCTGGTGCAAAGCTGTGGGCACTACAGGAAAATGCCTACCTGTTGGAAAACCTGATGGTCAAACAGATTTTAGAAGGCATACACTTAATTTCCTGATGCTTCCTTTCCAAAATCACTGCCACGTGTCGCACAGACAGGGTGACCACTCGGCGTGACAAAACTGCACTCAGCCCAGCTGTTACCAAGAAATGAGGATCTGTGCAGCTGTGGCTTTGGCTATATGAGGAGATAGAACTACCATGTGTGCTGTCCTGGGAGCTGGAGCCGTAAATCTGTACCTTATAGATCAGTTTTTCCCAAATTGTTATGACCAGTCTATATAGACAGCTTTACATTTACATTTCCTGTATTTTAACATGAGCGTCCCAGCCTGTGCCACAAGGCAATATGAGCTTGTCTGAGTAAAAGCGACCCTATTGCACCAAGGCTTGGAATTATCACAAAATCAGGTACGTGTTGTTCTTTGTGTATTTCTTAACATTTCCATGATCTCCCTAGAAGGTCAAAGTAGACCTCGTTTGCTTTTCAAAGAGTTACAATTAAATACAACCCTAATTAAAAACAGAGGGAAATAAGATACATAGCTAAGATTTACAGGAGTATCCTTAACACAGAAGATACCTTCTTGCTATAATTTCCATCTTCAATTCGGTACTAAGATGAAAGAGTTCTTGGAAGCCATGACTCTGCCATTCTGCACTTGAAAGAGAATCTGCTGCAGCACAGCCTTTCCAGAACGAGGGCCTGGACTGAAAAGCCAGTGCAAATTTTTCTTCTGTTGTTCCCTTTTCCATGAATCCTGGGCTCATGGTTAGTGTCCCTTGTATACTTATTTATTTAGAATTACAGCCTTTCCATACATGAAACAACTCCTTTAGAAATAATTTTTAGGCTGAAGTAACTTCATAAA